GCAATTTTTTAAGTTTTATTTTTAATTATAACCTAAAAGTTTAGACAAATTAATCAATACATAATTTTGATAACATACACATTGTATAATGTTTAAGTCACATTAAACATGTATCTCCTCACTTATAATTTTTTGTGAAAACTTTCAAAATCCATTTAGCTTTTAAGATAGGTACAATGTATTTTTGTTCTTAGAAGTCAGTCTGCTATACAAGAGCACACTATAACTGTACCAGTACAAGACAGGTTGTTTGTATTGGCTATAGCTGTTAGAAACAAACCCATCAAATGTAGTATAGCCATCTAGTTATTTCTCTGACCATTTGGGGGTATGTATGCATGTTGTATATGTATATGTTCCTGTGGGTGTGTGCACATGTACATGCAAGTGCATGTGCACATAATAAGTGTGGGGAGGCTAAAGATCAATGGCAGGTATCGTTTTCTGTCTTCTTTTTTAAAACATGGCCTCTCACAACCTGGAACCACGTTTTTGCCTCTGTTAAGTAGCCAGGGAGGCCCCATCATCCATCTGTCTCCTGGCTGGTCAGTGAGCCCGGAGATCTGAGGGTGCTCCTGTCTCACTTCTATGGACCCCCCATCCACCTGTTCCTTCTATCCCTCTTCCTCCTCTGCCCCCTGACGTTACAGGCCCAAGCCACCATATGCCTGCCTTTTTCTTGAATGCTGGGGATCCTAACTCAGGTCCTCATACGTAAAAAGCAGGCATATTACCCTCTGAACCTTCTACCCCTGTGTACTTGATCTTAATACCCTGAAGAAATACACTGAGCTAAATGTTTTCTTTGTTTTTGGCCCTCCACGGGACCCTTCTACCCATCATTAGAAAGTAAGCAAGGTTGTTTGTCTTCCTGCAAAAATTAAAGGCATAGCACATAGTAGGTAATCTGTAAATAGTTATACATGACTAATGAATGAATTATGCTTGTCAAGGTTTATCTTTCTCAGACAGCCTAAATTAGTGAGGTGTTACTATGAAATACTGTGAGGTAAGAAGTACATGAATGACTCTTGAGGAGAATGGTACCCTAATTCTTTCATTCCAGAAAACAGAGAAAAGTCAGTCCTTCAACTGCTGAGGAAAGCAAACAAAAATACAGAATAAAAACAAAACACAGCCATAGGTGTCTTAAGTACAGAAATAAACTGGCTCCTATTTTTCCTGCATGCTTCCCTACAGCACTTTTTCCTGCATAAGAAAATAATGTAAGATTTTAGTGTTGGGTTAGGCATCTAGAATCCAGACTTCTCTTTACATTGCTTCTGTTCCTTCCTGCACCTTAGGATTATTTATTCCCCCATTTTCATCCGTCCCTCCTCCTGCCTTCTTAGGGATCCTTTTCCTCTTCCCATATAGTTCCCTCCCACTTTCTTGTCATATATGTGCATCTGAATGTGCGTGCGTGCATGCGTGCGTGCGTGTGTGCGTGTGCGCGCGTGTGTCTTTTCCCCGTGAGTCTGTCTTGCTCCCCACTTCTCCTCCATTACCTCTTCCTCCCCCATCTCACCCCTGGATAGCTCCCCATCTACTTCCATGCCCTGTTAAAAATTTATTTAAATCTAGACCCCACATCAGAAACCATGTCCGTTGTATGATTTTGATGCCAGGGTAATAGTGGCTCCATGGAATGAGTTTGGCTGTTCCCTTTCAGTTTGAGAAGCACTGATGTTAACTGGACTTTAAAGGTTTAGGAGAATTTAGTAAGTAAATGTGTCCATTGACAGGCTGAAATTTGTTATAGATGTATATGAGAATATATCTATTTCTTCTAGATAATCCATGGATTGTTTGGTTTTGTTTTGGGTTTGTATTTTGGTTTGGGGTTTGTTTGTTTGTTTGTTTGTTTTTCCGTTAGGTTTTTTTTTTTTTTTTTTTTTTTTTTTTTTTAGTTTCAAACAAAGTATTCCTAATAATCCTCTGGATTTTATTGGATACTATTCTACTCATGAAATCTATTTTTTTTTTTTTGGTTTTTTTTTTTCGAGACAGGGTTTCTCTGTGTAGCTTTGTGCCTTTCCTGGAACTCGCTTTGTAGACCAGGCTAGCCTCAAACTCACAGAGATCGGCCTGCCTCTGCGTCCCGAGTGCTGGGATTAAAGGCGTGCACCACCACCGCCCTGCGAAATCTATTCTTTTCTGTACTTTCATTTCATCGTTGAAACTCCTCCTTCCTCCCCTATATTTAGTATGCCTTTTTTGTGTTTTCTGCAGAGCTCGCTTGGTGGTCATGAACTTCTTTAGTTTATGGAGGCAGTCCTTGCCTGACTGGCTAGAGATGGCACCTCTAGAGCTTGGGATATACAGTAGTGCCAAATTTTCTGCTTGCCCTGGAAGAGCAGTGAAAGGTATCTGTAGATGGATTTTTCTTGAGGCTGCCAGTTCACACATAAAAACATGGAGACTTATTAGTTATGAAAGCTTGTCCGATAGCTTAGGCTTCTTTCTAACTAGCTCTTATAACTTATATTAACCCATTTCTATTCATATATATGTCTTGCCATGTGGCTTGTGGCTTTTACCTCCTGCATGTCTGTTCCCTCTGGTTGGCGACTCCACCTTTCTTCTTCCCAGAGCTCTCTGTCCAGAAGTCCCTGCTATGCCTCCTGCCTAGCTACTGGCCATTTAGCTTCTTATTAAACCAATCACAGTGACACATCTTCACACAGTGTAAAGGAATATTCTACAACATTCCCCCTTTTTATCTAATAAAAAAGAAAGGCTTTAACTCTAACACAGTAAAATTATATACAATAAGAACAATTATCAGGTAAGAATTACATTTACAATGTCCAGTCCATTTGTATTTGACAAATTTAGAGAAAATACTCCATTGTCTTTTTGTACTCTGTGAAGAGGTGTTAATCTGATTGGTTTAATAAAAAGCTGAATAGCCAATAGGTAGGCAGGATTTCTGGGCAGAGGGGACTCTGGAAAGAAGGCAGCATCGCCAGCCAGATGCAGGATAACCAGGACGGGCATAATGGAGATGAGGTAACGAACATGTGGAAGAATGTGGATTAAAAAGTATGGGTTAATTTAAGTTATAAGAGCCTAAGCTAAGCCCCAGCTTTCATAATTAATACTAAGTTTCTGTGTCTTTTTTTTTTTTTTTTTTTTTTTTTTTTTTTTTTTTTTTTTTTTTTTTTTTTGTGAGCTGGAGGCCCAAAGAAAAGCCCTGCTATGTACAGGTACCCTCCTCTATCTAAAAGTAGGAGTGAAGGAGGCACCAGGGAGACAAGACCCATGCAGATCTCCAGTCTCATTTCCTCCTTTGTCTGCAGCCTGGAGCCAGTGATGGGGCTTCTTTATTTGGTGCTCTTAAGTTGGAGTCAGTTATTCCCTTTGTAAAGCTAACATCCAGTTATTTCCGGACATCTCTGTTGTCTTTCTGTTCACTGTGGCCCTCTCTTGCATCTTACTCTTCAGTCGTGTGGTTTCTTTTGTGGGGACACAGGAGAGTGTAAATTGTCCCTGTTTTGCCATCTTCTTTCTATCAAAAGACCATGTTTCTGTTTCTTCTGATTATTATTATTATTATCATTATTATTACATTTCCCCCTTCCCTTTTCTCCCCCAGACCTTACCATGTACCCCTCTTCACTCTCCTTCAAATTCATGACCTCTTTCTTCACTAATTGTTATAGCATGTACACACACACACACACACACATACACACACTCCTAAATATATCCTGTTCAGTTTGTATATATACTTGTGTGTATGTTTTCAGGCTGCTTGGCACTGGACAACCAATTGATGTTCTCTTCCTTGGGGAAGACCACCTCTCCCGTTCCCATCTTTCTGCACTTGCCTATAGTTCTTATGTAGGGTTGAGGCCACGTGGGCTTTTCTCCACCCAGTTTTTGGGATGTCTATTGGTGTTGCCCTTGTTCATCCCACATGGGCAGTTATGCAGGTGAGACTGTGTGGGTGTGTCTTCTGATGTTACTAGGAGATATAATCTCACAGCAAACTCCCAGGTCCTCTGGCTTTTGTAATCTTTCTGCCCCCTCTTCCACAGTATTCCCTGAGCTTTAGGTATGGGAATGTTTTGTAGATGTATCCATGAGGACTAGGCTCCACAACTCTGTGTTTGTTTGTGTTTGTTTGTTTTCGAGACAGGGTTTCTCTGTGTAGTTTTGGTGCCTGTCCTGGATCTCACTCTGTAGACCAGGCTGGTCTTGAACTCACAGAGATCTGCCTGTCTTTTCCTCCTGAGTGCTGGGATTAAAGGCATGTGACACCCGGCCCACAACTCTGTATTTTGATTGATTGTGGTTTTTCGTAGTGATCTCCATCTGTTGCAAGGAGGTTCCTTGATGGGGACTGGAGGGTGTTTATCTATAGATATAAACCTGCTCAACAAGAGGGAAACCATGCCTGGAACTGGAAACCTAGCCAGCCTACTCAGTGCTAGTGAATGGTTATTGGCTGAGAATCTACAGCCTCTAATTTAGTAAGCGAGCATGATCCTAACAACAGTCTATTAATGTGTCCATTCACCCACAGAGAAGACCATATTTCTCTAAGGGTGCTATGAAGTCAAATTCCATGAGATACTTGAAGATTATAAACCATCTGGAAGGCAGAGTAGATAAGAGCACATATTCTGGAGTCAGAAAACCTGAGTTTGAATGCTGATTCTACCATTTTATTGCAGAGGAACACCAGGCAAGTTACTTAACTTCTGAATGTAATGATTCAATACCCGCCTTAGAAATACAGTTGGAATGGTGCTGTGTTCACTTTAATTGCTATGTGAGTGCTCGAGATCCCTTCTGACAGCCCTGGTTCACATTTACATTTAGCTATAATTTCTTTCTAAGAACTCCCTTACAGTAAGATTACATTAAACTGAAGTAATATGTTAAAAGCAAAATTTTATATTTGCTCAAATTTAATGCAAGTTATCTGTGTAAAAAATATGCTAATGTGAACTCCAGGTTCCAATTGTGATTGTCTTCGTTGTCGTTTGTAGGAGAATCCTCATTGACACTGGAGAGCCATCAATTCCAGAGTATATCAGCTGTCTAAAGCAAGCCTTGGTTGAATTTGACACAGCAATCCAAGAAATCCTAGTGACTCACTGGCATCGTGATCATACCGGAGGCATAGTAGATATTTGTAAAAACATCAGTAATGGTAAGCAGAAAACATTAAGCTCACTGAGGAAGGCTATGCTTGAGGAATAATTTATAATTTAAGCTTTCAACTATGTTGATATTTAATTTTTTTTAATTGATATGACTTGAATACTGTCAATTTTAGCAGATGTGACATGTAAAGCTCTGTTTTCTTTCAAATCCTTTCTCTCTTCCTTTGCCCAGTGGTAAAGCTCAGCTTTAGTTTAGTCTCTGTGACAACCACAGTTTCAGACATAATAACTAACAACTCTTAGGCATTTACTGTGTCTCAGGCATTGCACTAAACACTTCCCATGGGGACTGTGAGGCTGTTGCTCTTCTTGTCTGTTCCCAGCAGATTATCTGGGCCTTACAGAACTCGAAGACAGTTGCTAAGATAGATGGAGAGCTGGGCAACACATCAGTGTATCAATCACTTTCTCTCCCTGAAACCTGTTCAGTCCTGACATTTGACCTGTTCTCTTAGTTCCTTTATCCTGACATCATATTCCTGGATTGACACATTCAGGGGCCACTGTGGGTCAGTACTGTGAACAAAGCCTAGTATGCTGACAGGGAGCTGACATTCTACAGCTGGAACATCCCTAATCCAAAATCCACCAGCCTGATGCCGCAGTTGACAGATGGCGGTCAAAATACAAACACCCTGAAAGTGTCACATAACAAACATTTCCTTTGGGATTGCTCTAAGAGAACAATAGTTTTAGGTTCCGTACAAAATAGCAAATATTAGTATAATTACCATTCAGTTGATATAAAGAAAGTAGAAGAGAAATTTGACACAACTCTTTATAGCTACTAACATGCTAGTGCTTTCTTGAGAGAGGTCTTGCCTGCCCTTTGGGGCGTTACTGAAGCTGCATAAGCTGTGTGCAGGTGTGGGCTGCTTGGCATTGAAATGGTACCAAGATGCTTTGCGTTATCATTCCCTTATTCCTTCTCTAAATCCCGTAACTACATTCTTATCCCCTTCTGTTTAGCTTGCCCTGCTCCGTGTTGGTTTACTGTTTACTTACTGTAGGGCGGATATAGTCAAGTAGTTTTCAGTGCTGGCTACCTGTTGGTTGGTTTTTTGTTTTGTTTTGTTTTGTTTTTTAAGCTACATGTATTTTATAGGCAATACTAAAATATATAAATGCCATGTATATAATTTCTTTGGCAAGACAGAGTAAATTTGAAGCAACTGATGACAGATTTTTTTTTCAAAAAACCATCAGTTTAGGGCAGGAGATTTGGCTCAGTGGTTAAGTGTGTGTCCTGCCCTTCTAGAGGACCTGAGTTCGGTTCCCAGCACACATGTCAGGCAGCTCATAACCACCTGTAAGTTCAGCTCCAGAGGCTCAGATGCTGTCTCTGGCTCACATGGGCATTGCACACGTGTGTCGTACATTCACACACACACACACACACACACACACACACACACACACACGACAATAAAAACAAAACAGATCTTTAAATTAAAAATCATTAGTATTGGCCATGCCTTTAATCGAAGTACTCAGGAGGCAGAGGCAGGCAGATCTTTGAGTTCCAGGCCAGCCTGGTCTACAGAGTGAGTTCCAAGACAGCCAGAGCTACACAGAGAAAACCTGTCCAAAAAAACAACAACAAACAGAACCCAGACTGTAACCTGTAAATGTCGCGTCTCCCGTTTCCAGCACCGCTGCCCTAACCTTGGTGTCTTCCCGCTGGACTGTCAGTCATCCCTCCAGGTTCTGGTAGATCTCCCCTCCACTGTCACCACTCACAGCTGCCATTTGACCTGCTAATACTGCCACATTGTCGTTTAAAAACTCTACAGTGGCCACAGTGGCCAAATTCAGTTCCTCTCTATCAGCTGAGCTCATCCCGCCTGTACAGCTTTTCTCTGCTCTTCCCAGCAGCAGTAGTTTGCATTGGACAAGAGGGAAGCATGGCCACACCTACACCACACCCACCACACCCACTGTCACTTCCACAGCTCTCCTTATGCTTGCTCCTTCCTTCCTACAAGCTTTCCCCTGTCCCTTTACCCAGCCTGCCTGTCCTGTCAATCCAATCGTGTCTCAGCTTCTGTCCCGTTCCTGGCTCCTTTCCTAGTAGCACACCCTTCGTCTCGCTCCTGTTGCGTCTCCTGGCTGAGCTCTCTTCAGGATTGCAGGAGTCTTCACTGTGGGTCCTGCTTCCATCTCCCCGACTGTCAGATTTTAAGTGCCTTAGTTCACTGCACTCACTGTCCTGGTTCAATGATTGGCACTGCAGATTGGGAAAGGATTGATTTTCTTTCTATCAGTGAGGAGTCATGCGTGTGAAATTTATCTTAAAGGTTTACCCTCTTAGCATCCAGGACCTCCTTCAGCACCGACAGCACAGTCTTATTATTAACTACTGACACGTTCAGTGGGCACCTAGATAGAGAAAAGTGCTCTCGTTCCATCAGACTGTCCCCTCGTCACCTCCCTGGTGTCAAATGCTACCTGAGATTATGGAGAACCATTTGAAGTTTTTACACAGAATAGAAATGACTAGAAAATCACAGGCTTTTATGGGACCTCCAGGGCCCTAGGAGAATCCAACGCTTTGGAAACAAGTGAACTAGTTTCATCAGAGATACTCGGCTTTAATTCTTCCTGTCTCCCTGCTGTCTTAACGCCAGGGTTTTGTATAGCCTTTAGTGGCTGTTCCTGTGTGAACGCTGATCTCTTCAAAAGCTGAATCTTGGAGTATGACTTAATATATTTACATGTTTTATGACTAGACACTACCTATTGCATTAAAAAACTCCCACGGAATCCTCGGAGAGAAGAAATTATAGGAAATGGAGAACAGCAATATGTTTATATAGAAAATGGAGACTTGATTAAGACCGAGGGAGCCACTCTCAGGTAAGTTAATGTCCCTTAGGAAATGAGGGGCCTGGGTGTGTTATAAAGAAGGATGAAGGCGAAGTTAGGTCTCTTTGCCTGTGTCTGAAGAATCGTGAATCTGACGCATTTAATGCTCTCAAGGAAGAGAGAGGGCTTGCTTGCAGACCAGAGAAGGAAGAAGTTTCTTTTCACTCTGTCTATTCTCTTTAAGTGCTTTTCTTTTGTTTCTTTAATTCATACCACTGTCCTACACGAAGACAAATTGAGAAAACTAGGCCCAGGCATGATAGTTCATGGACATGGGAGGCTGGTGCAGGAAATGTGCCCTAAATTCCAGTCCAGTGTACGCTACCGAGTAAGTACCAGGTCAGCTGGGGCTACAGTGTGAGACCCTGTCTCACAAAGCACATTGATTTTAGAAGTTAGCATTCCCAGTTGGGTGATTGAGGGATCTTCCTGAACCTCAGTGTTCTCACTTTGAAACGAGACCTAGACCTATTGTAAATACCTCTGGGGTAGACCCATGACCCCTTATGACCTGGGTCTGGGATAAAGCATTTCCAACTCTGATGTTTTGAAACTGAACTAATGGTCATTCTCTGTCTCCTGGAATCTGTTCTTGCCTTCAGATCTCAGAACATCCACTGTGCTCTGCAATTGGGATGTTAATCCGGGTTACCTTTAACCTTTCCACTGTTCTTCACCTTTACCCTTTCCCCGGCTCCTCATCATACTGGATTAGATTTTGCCTCAGAAGTGCTTGTCAGGGGCAGCAAGATGCCCAGTGGGCAAAAACATTTGCTGTCAAGGTTGATGATCTGCATTCAGTCCCTCGGACCTCCATGATAGAAGGAAAAGAACTGACCCCCAAAAGCTGTCCTTTCACCTCCACACACACCCTGCCCCCAGCCAACCCCACATACAAATAAATGGAAGTGTACCTTTAAAAAAAATCAAATGAAACGTTGGTTAGTGCTGTCCCTCTTCATGTCTCTGCTGCTCCCTTCTCCCTGACCCTCATCTCAGGCCTCCCCTGGCTAGTCTCCCTGGTACCCATTTCACTTGAACCTTTGCTGATTCCCACTGGCTACAAGACAGTGTTTACTGTCTCTACACTTCCACAGTCAAGCCCTCATTTCTGGTCTTAACTCCACTATCCCACTCACAAACACCATTACATATGTAAATCCTCGTGAGCATGTTCTGTGTTCATACCTCTGTTTATGTCTCCCCTTTTCCTGAGCCATGTGTAAATCCTCGTGAGCATGTTCTGTATTCACACCTCTGTTCATGTCTCCCCTTTTCCTGAGCCATGTGTAAATCCTCATGGGCATGTTCTGTGTTCACACCTCTGTTCATGTGTTCCCTTTTCCTGAGCCATGTGTAAATCCACGTGGGCATGTTCTGTGTTCACACCTCTGTTCATGCCTCCCTTTTTCCTGAGCCATATGTAAATCCTCGTGGGCATGTTCTGTGTTCACACCTCTGTTCATGTCTCCCCTTTTCCTGAGCCATGTGTAAATCCTCATGGGCAAGTTCTGTGTTCACACCTCTGTTCATGCCTCCCTGTTTCCTGAGCCATATGTAAATCCTCGTGGGCATGTTCTGTGTTCACACCTCTGTTCATGTCTCCCCTTTTCCTGAGCCATGTGTAAATCCTCATGGGCATGTTCTGTGTTCACACCTCTGTTCATGCCTCCCTGTTTCCTGAGCCATATGTAAATCCTCGTGGGCATGTTCTGTGTTCACACCTCTGTTCATGTCTCCCCTTTTCGTGAGCCATGTGTAAATCCTCGTGGGCATGTTCTGTGTTCACACCTCTGTAGCTAGAGTTTTCCTGCCTGGCCCACAGTCAGGACAAATCTCTCTCACCTGCCAGTCCCACAGCCACTCAAACCCAACCAAGTAAACACAGAGACTTACATTGGTTACAAACTGTATGGCCGTGGCAGGCTTCTTGCTAACTGTTCTTACAGCTTAAATTAATCCATTTCCATTAATCTATACCTTGCCACATGGCTCGTGGCTTACCGGCATCTTCAAATGCTGTTTGTCATCGTGGCGGCTGGCAGTGTCTCTCTGACTCAGCCTTCCACTTCCCAGCTTTATTCTCTTCCTTGTCCCGCTTACACTTCCTGCCTAGCCAATGGCCAATCAGTGTTTTATTTATTGACTAATCAGCAACACATTTGCCATACAGAACATCCCACAGCACACCTCTGTTCATGTCTCCCCTTTTCCTGAGCATTGCTCCTCTCCTCAGACTCTCTCCATGGTACACTGTTGTTTGCCCAGCTCACAAGTTCCTTCGAGTATCCTTTCTCAGCAGAATCCATTGCTCCCTCCTCCAGCTCTCATCTAATTCTTGTTATTTCTTTAAAGCACTTAATAATTGTGTTATAGTTTGTGTATGTGAGTAGGTGGCTTCTGATAATTCACAGTAGTAGTTTATGCCAGTTGCCATAGCAAGCTAGCTTAGAAATATAATAGTTCAAACATTAAAAAAATTTCTAAGTCACATTAAGTCCAAAAAAAGATTCCTGATTTGTGAGTGGCCTTCTGGGTGTTGAGCAGGACAGTGATTTGGGTTCCTTTATCATGTGACTCTGCACTCCTCTGCACTTGGCTTTCAAAGTCCCTACACTTAGCTCAGTACAGCAAGTACAAAAGAACACGGAGGAGATATCATGTGGGAGGTTTCATGGGCCAAAGCTTCTGGTACATTAGCTATAAAATTCAGTCATGTCCCACACTTGATCCTAGAGACATGACCATCATGCCCAAGAAAAAGAAGAAATAGAATTGGTAGTTGGCTAGTCTTCCTCTTTCCCAGGCATATACCGGGTTGATCTTTGTGTCCTCTGTCCCTGGCACATAGAAGGCACTGGGTATTCTACGAATAGTGTCTTTAAATAGGCAAGTGGATGTGCAGTTGACTATGACAGGGAAAATGAACCCGTGAGGAGCCACTGCACTCTTCCAAACCAGTATCCCCTCTTAGCCAAGGTACCAGTCATTTTTAAAATCACTGGTATCATTTATCTACCAGCTAGTTTGGGGTGGGTTTCTTAAAATATTCTTGTTAACACACACACACACACACACACACACACACACACACACACACACACACACGCACATGCACCCGCACACGAGATAAACTCAGTACTATTGTACTTGTCTAGGGTCTAAAAGGCTCTGGTTTCAATTCCTAGTGCTGCATGAAAACAAAATACAGAACAAATAGACAGGTGCTTGATTGGATTTTCTCATAATAACAAATTTTCTATTGCTGTGACCAAACCCTATGACCAAGGCCAGTTTATAAAGGAAAACATGTAATTGGGCTTACAGTTTCAGAGGGCTAGAGTCCGTATGGAGGTATGGAGGCAGGAAGAGCTGAGAGCTACATCCTGATCTGCAAACGGAACAGAACAGGCTCTACCATATGTCCCCAAGCAGGTGTTTTTGCTGTTGTTTTTTGTTTTCCAAGACAGGATTTCTCTGTGTAGCCCTGAACTGTCCTGGAACTTGCTCCTTAGACCAGGCTAGCCTCAAACTTAGAGATCCGTCTTCCTCTGCCTCCCAAGTGCTGGGATTAAAGGTGTGCACTACCATGCCTAGCTTAAATTTTTAAAAGCCTTCATAGTTTCAGTATTTAATATTAAGGTCGGTTAATTTTTATTTTTTGGCAAAGGGGGGAACTCCAACTTACAGTTATTTCATTTTCTTTTTTTTAATTAAGAAATGCTTTTATTCATTTTACATACCAATGTAAAAGATCCCCCTCTTTCCTCCTCCCACCCCTTCAGCCTCCCCTTCCCGGAACCCCCGCCCCATTCTATCCTACCTGTCTATCTGTTCTGTATTTTGTTTTAGAGGACTTGAGACTACAAAGCAGGAACCTGTCAGAAAAGAAAGATGGGAGGGAGGGAAGGAGTGTGTGAGGGAGTGTGTGAGTGAGTGTGAGTGTGAGTGTGTGAGTGAGTGTGAGTGTGTGAGTGAGGGAGTGTATGAGTGAGGGAGTAAGTATGTGAGTGAGTGTGTGAGTGAGTGAGTGTGAATGAGTGAGTTTGTTTATGGATACAGATTAGATTCTAAGTTGAAATTGTTTCATTTCGTGGGTAAGGTTTAATTTACTTCTACATTTTGATAAATACAGGCCCTTCTGAATCCTGAGATTTCTCATTATCTGTTGTTCTGTGTATTGTGGGGGGATTCCTTCTTAGCCATCTTTTCCTGAGATTTCACAGTTAAGTGCTTTTGTGAGTTTGTAGTTCTAGGTCGTGATAAGGAGAAAACTACCTTTGTTAATGTAGACAAACTTTAATTGAAAGGCGTCCATGGAAATAGATACAGGGACATTACCGTGGGGTCTCGCTGTGGAATAGAGGGATTGGGCTCCACCCCAGCTCTGTAAGGGCAAATGGGGAGTGAGTTAAGGATGAGTGCATGGGGATTATCTAAGAAGTAACCAGTCCTCAGGGTTCCTTCCCTACCGACAGCAGAGCACTTTCCCGATCTGACTATTCAGACTAGCTTCCGCCAGGACAGAGAGGAAAACCAAGTGGCAGGTCAGCACAGGAGAGCAGCGAGTCCTCTGTCTTCTTGGCCCTTGTCAAGTTGGAAACTAGAATCGATGGGCAGAATGACAGGGAAAATAGCTTTAATGTTTTTATGAGACACTGGAGTGTTCAGAAATAAAGACCCAAATTAACAGGGAAAACTGCCTATTTTTATGCTGTTTGATGGAGTGTAAGTAGTCATAGAGAAGTGTGACTGGACAAGAGGTGACCTAGGCTTAGGGAACTGCAAGGCCTGATGGCTCAGACTCTTCTTCAGAAGAGTTCTTCTGTGTCTAAGTATGAAGCCGGCGCCTCAGAGGAAAGTCAAGAAGTCCTTACAGGTTTGAAAACTTAGTCAAAGCACAGAAGGCATTAGGAAGTCAGAGAAACCTCCTGCATTTCCTATTTCTCTGATGCCCTCTCCTTGGCCCACTCAGGATGCTGGAAGTGCCATATTACAACAGAGTTGGCTCTGTAAGCCCTGTCATTGGAAAAAGCTCCTAGGGGCTGCAGAGGTGGCTCCGTGGTTCAGAGCACCTGCTGCTCTTGCAGAGGACCCAGGTTAGGTTCCCAGCCCCTCATGATGGCTCAACCACCTGGAACTCAAGTTGAGGGGATCCTCCACTTTCTGAACACTGTAGGCACAAGGCACACATGGTGCACATATAGATACGAAAGCACAAGGCTCATTTACATAAAATGAGTACACTTTTGAAAAGAAAAAGAGAATTCCCGGGAGCCTGACCAAAGTTAGCCATAGGAGGAAATCTTTGTCCAGCTCCAAGGAGGACTTTTGTTCTAGAAATTGTTCTTGCAGTTGCTTCTGATTCATGCTCTCTCCTCTTTTCTTAGTTGGTTTCCCAGCACTCCAGTTCTTTGTCAGAACCCCACTGCGCATCTGCTCCACCCGCTCCTGGTTTCCATCATCTCCTTCCTCCTGCACCAGGGAGCTGTGTGTGTCTCCAATTTGTCACTCTGCTCCCTTGGTGCTCCTTCACACTAGGCTCTTCTGGTTTGCTTGAGATTCTCTTTTTACCTTGCTGAGGGCTTTATCATCAGTTTTTTGGTTTTGGTTTTTTTTGGTTTTTTTTTGGTTTTTTTTTTTTGTGTGTGTGTGTGTGTGTGTATGTGTGTGTGTGTGTGTGTGTGTGTGTGTTATCATCAGTTTTAAAAGGTTCTTCTTTGTAGTTTGTTGCTTCTGGATTCGTTTGCTTTTTCTTACCCACTGCATGCCATGTATGCTAATTATCTTAATTACCCTCTCCTAGTTCCTGGTTTTCTTCTGCTGAAAACTGAGCCCTGAGAACTGGGAGAACAGAGAGTTGTAGGCATGAACCTCATGGTGCCTTAATCTAGTAATTTAATGTAGTCTGTTCCCAAGGTAGTAAAATAATTTAGAAAAGGCTTTCTTGAGGTCTTCGGGAAGGGTAAAGACCTCACTGACAGCATTATGTAAACTGATGTAAAAAGGGAATCTACCTGTGTTCGAGTTATCTTCATTTTCTTAGCGTATTATCTCCACTTCCATCCATGCCTGGTTACACTTCTGTTAACAGGCTTAGAGCACTTGTCCAACAGCTCAAAGTAAGAATGGAACTTAACATTTGGAAAGTTTCTATTTTGTTTGAGGTTTGCTTGAGATTTTTAGTGTTAAGGATTGAACCCAGGGCCCCACATGTTCTACCCTGAGCTACAGCCACAGCCTGAATATTTGTTAAACAGATTTTCAATCTTTTTTATTTTAACCACCTTGCCCCTACTGTCCCCTCTTCTTCCAGATTCCTGACACCCCAAATCCTTAGCTTTCAGGGAATTCTTCGGGGTGATCTGTCTGTTTAGGCCTCAGCTTTGCTTCGACTGTTAATTCCCTTGTCCTTCACCTCTCATTTTAGCATCTACAGTCCTGGAGCTGTGGTCTCCCACCCATTCTTCCCATCCCTGTGGGGTAAGGAAACCAGATGCCGCTGTACACTCTACTGTCTTCAACCAAAACCCCACATTGAGTCCCTAAGCATTAAATATAAATATGCAGTTATATTTGCCCTATCCCCCCTAAATAGTTCATTATTGAGAGTTTTATTTAAAGTATTTCAAGACCATAAAAATCAATGTCTAAATCAGACACAAAGGTAATTAAATTAGTTTCTGAAGCTAAATAAAATTAAGTTTGAACTATATTCTTCAGATATTTATTGCTATCTTCTGTGATTCACTCATCTAAAATGCAAAGGTTGGTAGAGCCCACTTCAAAGTAATATAAGAATTAAATGCAAAATACTCACAAGCTCCTGAAGTCAGTGCCTGAGACATGGAAAGCTATGGATTAAAATGAGATGCCACCAAGAGCTGAGTGCTGGAAACAGACCGTGGAAAATAGAGGGAGTCCTGCCTGTCAGGAGACTGAATGGTAAACAAGTAAGACAGTGTGACACCTATAGAACAAGTGGAATTCAAGATACACAAGTAAAACGGGGAAACCACCATCCCGAGTCTAAATGTGGCTGAGAAATCAAGAGGTGCTTTGCAGAACAAACTAGTTAGACTTTTTGTTTACTGTTGGTATAGATATAAACCTTAATGTGAATATAAATAAAAGCCCTTGCAATATTTATCATGACTTAAAGGTATCATAATCAGTTTTGAAGTTTAAAGGGTTTTGTTAGCAAATATCAATTATAGACAATAATGGGTTTCATCGTCACATTTTCATTCCTGTATATAATGCATTTTATATTTACCCCTTTATTATCCTGTCCTCTCTCGCTCCCTTCCCACCCTGCTGATCCTCTTCTTCCTCTCAGCTAGTCCCCCTTCTACTCCCACATCATTCTGTGTGTGTGTGTGTGTGTGTGTGTGTGTGTATACATGTGTGCATGTGCATTTCTACCAATGAATTTGATTAGGATTACTTACAGGAGCATAGATGAGGGATTATTTAGTGTTTGGGCAACCAAACCAGTGGCTGCACTACCAAAGAAAAGCACACATCAGGTTCTGCATACCCACATTTAGGATTGTTTATGGGTCTTCATCTCATTCAAAGGCCTGTTTATCCTTGTTTCTATATCACACTGTTCTAAATGTTTTTATGGTTTACACACACTCTTGACATAAATAGGTACCTCATCTTTATTTAATTAGATTTTTTAATCTGTTTGAGTGTTTTGCCATCATGCATGTATGTGCACTGCATACATGTTTGGTGCTGCAGAGGTCTGGAGGGGGTGGTAGACCCCCTAGAACGAGAGTTACTGATGGTTGTGAGCCACCGTGTGGGTGCTGGGAACCAAACTTGCATCCTCTGCAAGAGCAACAGTGCTCAGAACTGCTAAGCCATCTCTCCAGCCTCTACACTTACTTAAAAAAAAAGTGGAAACAAATACATTTAAAAATGTTTCTCTTAAATGTTTCTATAAATACTATTAAATTTTTATTTTTGAAACATATAGCATTGTGCCAAATATTATGTAGAGCACTTAGGTATTTACCTAAAGTATTTAATAATGTATAAAAATACAATAAGTAAATGAAAACTTCAAAAGCCACTTTTGTTTTTTAATTATTAGCATAGGAAATTGAAAAACTATCTTCTTACTAAAAGTTTTATTTCTCAATAATCTTAATTTTTATCTTTTTATATTTTTATGTATTTCAAATTTGTTGTAATCATCTTTTTATTTATAAAAGAAGAAAATGCGTTATTAAATTTGTACTTCTGAATAAGAAAAATGATCTAGTAATAGGGGATATCTGTCTGTGGTCAGTTTCCCATGAGCACCGTGGAAAAAATGAGATGATGAGATTGTTGACTCCTTGGTAGCATGTTGATGTCTTATCTAAAGATAATAGAATTATTTACTCCTCAACATTTTCTCCAAACCTCAGAATTCATACTTGTTATTTTATGATTCATAACTTCTGTTTTTGACTAGAGTTATATATACCCCTGGCCACACTGATGACCACATGTCTTTATTCCTGGAAGAAGAAAATGCCATATTTTCTGGGGATTGTATCCTAGGAGAAGGAACAACAATATTTGAAGACCTCTATGATTATATGAACTCCCTACAAGACTTATTAAAAATCAACGCTGACATTATATATCCAGGTGAGTAATGTTTTTAATCTAGTTATCAGGTAGCAGAGCTATGGGGGTTTACTTTGGGGTCTTTCATCAGTCTGTGCATCAATTTTGGTGCCAGAACCATACTGGTTTTGCCACAGTAACTCTAGTATAATTTAAAATCAGATATTATGATTCCATTAGCATTGCTCAGATTTGCTTTGGCTATTTGAGGTCTTTTGTCAATAAATTTGATAACTATTCTTTCTGGTTGTATGAAGGATTTACCAGAATTTTGATAGGGATTTGCATTGAATCAGTTTATCATTTTGGGTAATAAGGCTGTTTTCACAATATTAATTCTGCCAATCCAGGAGCATGCATTTATGTCTCCTTCAGGTTATTTCTACAGTGCTTTACGGTTTCCATTATAGAGAGAGGTCTTCCACATCTTCTGTTTGTTTATTTATTTTCAATTAACAAAATTTTTTATTTGTTTTATATACTAAAGATCCTCCTCTTCCCTCCTACAAGAAGATAAGACCTCCCATAGGGAGGTACATTTAGTAGAGGCAGATCCAAGCCCCTCCCCCTGCCTCAAGGCTGTATGAGATGCCCTATCATAGGTAGTGGGGTCCAAAAGGCCTGCTCATGCACCAGAGATGGATTCTGATCCTACTGCCAGGGAGCCCCTTAAGCAGATCATGCTACACAACTGTCTCCATATGCAGAGGGCCTAGTCCAGTCCCATGCAGGCTCCACAGCTGTTTCTGGGGTTTGTTTGTTTTGTTTTTAACCAAGAACAGGGATGAGGCTACTGTAAATAAGATTGTTTTCCTGAGGGTTGGGGATTTAGCTCAGTGGTAGAACACTTGCCTAGCAAGTGCAAGGCCCTGGGTTCGATCCTCAGCTCCAAAAAAAAAAAGATTGTTGATCATTTCAGTGGATTCATTTATATGTAAAAATCATTTTTTCTTGAGCTGACCCCCTGGTCCTTTGCTGAGAGTGTTTATAGACCAGCTTCCTCCTTCAGGTCTCTGGTGCATTGGGTCATGTTATCTGCAGAGAGGGGTGAGCTGGGCTCTTTCTTTGTATTTGCATCTCCTTTTGTACAGTTCCTTTATGCTGCTGGGACTGCAGTACCTGACAGGAACACCAAGAGCTAAAAGACTTACTAAAACTCATAGGTGTAGATGGGTTAGGCCATCATGGCAGGGAAGACCTAGTGGGCCAACTCAGTTCATGGCAGTCAGAACACACAGCAGACACTGTTCCCACCTGGGAAGCAGAAAGAGCCAGGAGCCAGGTATGGCTTGGAAAGGCCCTCTCCTAGTAACTGACTTCTGCTGCCTAGTCCACCTCTGAGACATCCCACACGGGCCCCAAAGAAAGCAGCACATGCCTTTAATCCCAGCACTCGGGAGGCAGAGGCAGGCGGATCTCTGTGAGTTCGAGGCCAGCCTGGTCTACAAGTGAGTTCCAGGACAGACTCCAAAGCTACAGAGAAACCCTGTCTCAAAAAAACAGGGGAAAAAAAGGCAGCACTAGTTGAGCAGGAACTCCAAAGACAAGCCTATGGGAGTTCACACTCAGATCACACTGCATTTCCTTCGCTTTGCTATTGATCCAGCTAAGATTTCAAGTGCTGTAGTGAATTAGCATGGAGACAGTGGACACCCTTGTCTTGTTCTTGGATCTAGAGGAAATGCTTTGTTTTTCTCCAGTTTGCATGTTAGTGCTCCTAGCCTACGTTCTCCAGGGCTGTTATGAAGGGATGCTGAGTTTTGTCAGCTTTTTCAGATGATACGGCATTTGATTGTCTTTGATTCTATTTGTGTACTGTGTTGTATTTGATTACTTGTATATTTTGAACCCTCTCTAGAATTAAATCAATTTGATCATGGTAATATGGTATATTTTAGGTGTTATTGAATACAGTTTGCTAGGGTTTTGTTTTAGGATCAGTGTTCATTAAGGACATTGAATGCATTTTTTCCTTTGTTGTTGGATCATTGCCCAGCAACATCAGTAACAAGGTAACCCTGGATTAGTGTCCTGGGTCTGAAAGGGTTACTTCCTCTTTTGTCTTGTGGAACAGTTAGAGGATTGTCTTAGTTAGGGGTTTCAGTTGCTGGGAAGAGACACCATGACCACAGCAACTCTTATAAAGAAAAAACATTTAACTGGAGTGGCTGGCTTACAGTGGTTTAGTACGTTATCATCATGGCAGGGAGCATAACAACGTGCAGGCAGACATGGTGCTGGAGAAGGAGCTGAGAGTCTACATCTTGCAGGCCACAGGAAGTTGACTGAGACACTGGGTGGTATCCTGAGCATAGGAAACCTCAAAGCCCGCCCCCACAGTAACACACTTCCTCCAACAAGGCATGCCCACTCCAACAAAGCCACACCTCCTGATAGAGCCACTCCCTATGAGATTATAGGGGCCAGTTACATGCAAACTACCACAAGGGTCCCTGGTGCTAGTTTTCTTTAAAGGGCCGGTGTTCTGCAGCAGGAATTCTTCTGGTCCTGGCTTTTCTTCCTTGAGGGCCTTCAGTGCTGCTTCGGCCTTATTTCCCACTACACATCTGCTGTGTCTGTCCTCCTGTTTCCATCTTGGTATGTCATGTGTGGCCAGAAATTGATCCATTTCTTTTTGATGTTCCAATTTATTAGACTAAGTTTTCAAAATAATGTGCAGTGATCTGAAGGTCAGTAGTCTCCTACAGTATTTCCTTTTTTATGTTCCATTGTGTTTAACTCTTTCCTCCTTTTGGTTAGTTTCACCAAGGGTTTGAGAATCTTATTTTTTTAAAAAAAAAAATCTCGTTTGTTAGTCCTTTATATTCTTTCCGTCTCTAATTCATATTCATTACTTTCTTCCCTGAACTGTTATTATTTCTATTTATTTTGACTTTTCTTATTCTAAGACATAAAGGTGCTTTGGTTATTTGTTGTAGGTCTCTGGTTTTTTTGTTGTGTTTTATTTTGTTTTGTTTTTTTGGTTTTTCGAGACAGGGTTTCTCTGTGTAGCTTTGGATCCTGTCCTGGATCTTGCTCTGTAGACCAGGCTGGCCTCGAACTCACAGAGATTCGCCTGCCTCTGCCTCCTGAGTGCTGGGATTAAAGGCGTGCACCACTGCCACCTGGCTGTCTCTAGTTTTTTAATGTTTATTTACATTTGTGTGTGTGTACATATCTGCATGTATGGTACACATGTGGAGGTCAGAGGACAACTTTCAGGAGTTGGTTCTCTTCTTCCACCAAGTGGGTCCTGGGGATCAAATTCTGGTCAGCAGACTTAGCGGCAAGGGCTTTTCCCCACGGACCCACCTCCCAGGCCCCTCTCTGATGTTTTAATGTGGAGCATTCAGAGCTGTTGTGTGACTTCTCTGAAGAGATGCAGATTAATTTAGTTTACACTTGCAATGGGAAGTCTTTAAAGGATAACTCCACTGAGTGTATAATAAACTTAGTTGACAGTTACTTAGTCTTGGGGCTTGAAATACGTCAGTCTGTGCTTTCCAGGCCTCAGGTTTCTGCTGACATATCTGCTCTTATTCTGATAGATTTTCCTTTGTAGCTTGATATGCCCTGTGCAGCTTCAGTACTCTGGGCATTTTCACTATAGTATGACATGGAAAGGCTGCTTTCTGGTCGAGTTTTGGTGGTGGTGGTGTTTTTGGGTTTTGTTTTTTTTTTTTGGTTTTTCGAGACAGAGTTTCTCTGTGTAGTTTTGGTGCCTGTCCTGGATCTTCATCTGTAGACCAGGCTGGCCTCAAACTCACAGAGATCTGCCTGGCTCTGCCTCCTGGGTGCTGGGATTAAAGGCGTGCGCCACCGCTGCCCAGTTTCTGGTCATGTTTTTTGGAGGATTCTAAATGCCTCCTGAACTTGAATGTCCATTCCTTTCCCTACATTTGGGGATGTTCTGACGTAACGTCACTGCATACATTCTCTGTCTTTTGTCAGTGACTTAGTTTCTTTTCAAATACACATCCATAGGTTTGGTCTGGAATGTTGTGGCCATGGTTGCTTATTGATAGTTGAATGTAACAATGTCTTAACGTCTTCAATCCTTGATGCTCTTTCCTCTTGCTGGCACGGGGCCTTCCTTCACATAAGAGCTTCCCTTCTTATGTCTAGCAGCCACTGCCAGCCCCAGCATTTATGGCCTGTGAAGCTACGTAGGTTCTCACTGGCGCCAGAGGTTCACTAGGTTTTGCACCCAGAGACGGCAGATTTCTAAGCCGGGGTGTGCACACATGTTAGAGTTCCTCGACTGCCATGAAAATCCGAGGGAACTCAGCAGTCTGCCCGCCAGCATCAGCGCCTCCAGACACTGCCAGGCGCTGAAGCCCCTTGAAGAGGGAAGGCTTCTGGGAATCCACTGCCGAAACAGGGCAGGCCTGCAAGGGAACGGGAAATGTCTCTATCACTGTTGCTCCTGTTAACTGAGTTCTCCCATAAACCACACTTTAGCTGTGGAACTTTGGTAAGACTTGCCCTCTATACTTTAACTCACAGTGTTGACATGTCAGGTTTCCATAGCAACTGTAAAATGGTACATTTCCAATCTCCAGAAGAAGAAACCTGTTCTATGTCAGATATCACTGCACTGATTACACTATGAATGTTCCCTCCATCGTGGAAGCTAAAAAGAACCCAGCAAGAGCCCCGAAGGAAAAGGGGGATTGGTTTGTTTTCTGACTTGCTCCTAACAAACAGCCAGGGGAGGATCTGTCCGCGCACTTGCAGTCTCTCCTGAGTTCTCGGCGCTTAGGAAATAGTGTACCGTATAGCTGGGCGTGCATATCATCATGACATGAGGTGAGTAGGCTCTATCGCTGCAGGAAAGCCAAAGGAGCAGCTGCCCAAGGCACCCCCAAGCTGGGCCAAAGAGAGGCCGCCTGCAGAGGTTCTCAGTGGAGCCAGTGAACCTCACATCTTATTAGCAGGGACATGTTTTTATGGAAATTATGCTCTGTCGCCATAGTTACCTTACAGTAAAGACTGCTTCCCTGTAGGTATCATGCAGGGGCCTTTATAGCTATGTGCTTACAAAGCCCTGTGAAGTAGGTGCTGGTATCACTACACCCCTGAAGAAACAGGCTAAGAAGGAAACAGCTGGTTATAAACCAAAGTCCAGTGCTCTTTATGTGATACTAGGTTAGCCTGTGCCTGGATGTTTTGTTCTTGAAGATTTAAAATATCCCTTTTGTGGACTTCTGTACAATACTGCAGTGTTTAAAGGGCAGGCGAATTTCAGTGTAACTGCATCTGGGTGGTCACAAGTTCTGGATGGCTACATTTGCTGTAAGATTTTAGTTCTCTTGTGGGCCTTCGACTGCCTTTGTAGTCTCCCTTTTCAGTCTTGTTAGTAGGCTTGCTACAAGGGTTAAGACAGTACCCATAGTGGTTAAAAACTGCTGAGTAGGAATCTCAACTCCACCCCTTCTTCCCTGTATAGCTGTAGGCAGGTTATGTACCTTCCCTGTGGATAGTAATAATACCTACCACATGGGGTCCCTTGTAAGCGCCCAGTACTTCAAGTATGTGGAATAATACTGAGCACCCAGTAAACACTGCATATTACCTACCATTATTGTGGTCACTGTTTTAGTGCATATATTACTGCTAAAATAGATCTTATATTTTAAGGTACATAATATTATATAGTTTTACTTGATATAATTCTCTAAAGGTTTTTGGTATTATGCACAATTTTTTTATTGCCATCAAAGCTTTATTTTTCCCCAAGCTATCTATAATGTAGTGCTTTTTTATTAATATATATTAATTATACATAATAATCAGTTTCATTATGACCTTTTCATAGGTTTATATAATGTATTCGAGGGGCTGAAGAGAGGGCTCAGTGGTTAAGAGTGTTTGCTGCTCTTTCAGATGGTAGTTCGGTTCCCATGTTGGGTGGCTCACAAGGGCTTGAAACACCAGCTCCAGGGGAGCCAGTGACTCCACCAGCATCCATATACTTATTCACATCCCCCCACAGACATACACATACCCACAAATAATAGAATACATCTTTAAAAATATTCTTTGACTATATTTCCCTCCAATACATTTCTCGTCCCCCTCCCATTATTCCCACTGACCCCTTTCTCTTCCCAAACCCTCCCCCTCTGTTTTCATTTTCTTGGTGATCAATGAGTTTAACTGGGGTTGTTTACAGGAGCTTGGGTGACAGATTCTGCAGGAAGGGCACTGGAGGGTTACCAGCGGCTACACTACTGAATAGGAACATGTCTCTTCCTCTCTAGCAACTGTTAGGAGAGGTGGAGAGTCTCCTGAGACCTCCTCCCATCACGGAATGTTGACAGGCCCACTTCGGAAGGTCCTGTGCACACAGTCTTTAAATCTTATGCGTGGTGTAGCTTTCCAAGCAATGGCTATTTGCTTGGAATGTACTCATATGCTTTTCAGTACAGTATATGAATTATTCTTAAATAGAGTGAATTAGCTTTGTACTTAGTGTTTTTTATTTGGTTGTAGTAATTTGTATAATTCTTTTAATGCAGGTCATGGCCCAGTAATCCGTAATGCTGAAGCTAAAATTCTGGAATATATTTCTCACAGAAATAGCCGAGAATCACAAATTCTTAGATTTATCCATGACAACTTTGAAAAATCATTTACACTGACTGAACTTAGGAAAATTATTTACCAGGTGACTTTCTTTCATCTTATCTGTACATGGCTACTGTTCACTAGGGTATTATTCAGTAAGCTATATGGTAAACATAATATATCCCAGGTGAACACAAGTCCTTTGATTATGTAAGTAATGCTAATTGTCTTGACTTGAGACCAGTAGTTTAAGAAAGAAAAATGTCCATAGAGAACAAAAATGACCATCCTGAGCCATCATTAAACCGTACTTACTTGACTCAGCAGGAGAAACTGCTCTGGGTACTTTAATAATGACAGATACTATTCCAGCCATCTTGGTTATCTGGTGTCCAGGCCTTCAGTAAATGACACAGAGTGATCTTCTAAGCAAAAAAACAAAAACAAAAAAAAACTTAGGATAATAGCCGTGAGAAATTGTAGTGTAACAATGGAAAAATATGCATCAAAAAACATGAACAGAATACTTTCTATAGGGAAGAACACCACACCTCAGTATGTGGCCTCTGGGTACATCCCTGGAGCACTGTGTGGTAATCAGTTAATGTTACTCAGTGTTTTAACAAGTTTAATATCTGCTGTGCAGGTAGAGTAGCTTAGTGACTCAGTGTACAGGATTTGGCAGATTGCCTAAGTTTTAAAAGTCCGTTATGGTTCACACAGTGGTACACACATGTAGTCTCAGTACTCAGGAAGCAGAGACGGGGATTACAAGTTTAAGGCTAGCCTGGGGTATGTTGAGTTTATAAAGGTAACCTGGAGATAGTAGCAATTAGTAAAGGGCCTTAAACATACCATAGGCATATGTCAAACTGTTAAATCATATTCGGTGTGCCTCATTTCAAAAGAGAATGATGAACAAATGAAATACCTTTGACTGGGGATGTAATTCAAGAGTAGAGTGTTAGCCTAGCATATTCAAGCCCTGGGTTAGGATTCCCAGCACTATCAGGAAAAAGTCATTGGAAAAATTAATACAAGTATTTTGTTGTGGGACTGAGAGATAGGTCAGGCACTAGAGTCTTACTGTGCAAGTACGGAGACTGAATTCAGTCCCCAACAGCTAAAGTGTTCCTGTAATTCCGGTGCTAGGGAGGCAGAGACAGGAGGATGCCTGGAGCTTGTTGCTCAGCCTGTCTAGCTGAATCAGCTCCAAGTTCAGTGAGAGACAGACCCCTTTTTGAGAAAATAAGGCGGAGAGCAATCAAGGAAAGCACCCAGTGTCAACATTAGCTTCAGTATATACACGTGTGCACACGCACTCATGCACACATGCAGTGTCAACATTAGCTTCAGTGTGTACACGTGTGCACGCACACTCATGCACACAGTGTCAACATTAACTTCAGTGTGTACACGTGTGCACGCGCACTCATGCACACACAGTGTCAACATTAGCTTCAGTATGTACACATGTGCACACGCACTCATGCACATAGTGTCAACATTAGCTTCAGTGTGTACACGTGTGCACACGCACTCATGCACACACACAGTGGAAAAGGGGCATTGAAACTGTGTGAAAGAGCTCATTATCTCTCTAATCCAGTGTGTAGCCACTCTAAACTATATATTAGTACATTGAGGGCCCCCCCTCACCCTAATCTAAGTATACTCAGCAAAACTCTCAGACCGTGTCACAGATGAATCATCAAGTAATTGCTCATGCCTGAATAAACATTGATTCTTCATTCAGGAATATATTTTGTGTATACACAGAGGCATACTCACCATGCAAGTGTGTGAAGCACCTAATGCATTTAAAATGGCATGAGATAACCTAAAGTGATTTAGTCATGCAGCATGTATTATGTATTTGATTTGCCACACGCTAGAGTAGGTGCAGAAGTACATACATAACTGTGGACCCTTGCCTTCAAGGATCTAAGGATCACTGAAGACAGGCCTATTTCAACAGGTATGGCTCTGTCATAACAGTTGCCTCCACTGAGCACACTAAACACATTAGACACTGCACTATGTTTTATATAAGTTGAGCATCCTTAATCCAAAATACTCTAATACTTCAAAGGCTTCATATGTTGGAGCATTTTTTTCACACAAAACTTGAGGTTCTATACACCACATATTAAGACACAAAAATTGAAATCAGTTTTACCTAGTGAAGATGCAGAGTAATGAGTTTTGTCTAAAGAAGGAGTAAGCATTTTCTAGGCCAGAGTAGACGAGAAAAGAAGTCATTCTAGATAGTGAGGGCAGGTTCAGACACTGGGGATAATGATAAACCGATGTGTTGGGAAACCCACCAAGAAGACCTGTCGCAGGAGCACAGACTGCGCCTGTGGATGGACAGGAAGAGAACCAGAAAATGAGGTAGGAAGAGTAGATGTGATCAAATCATAAGAAGACTCCACTGCCAGCTGGAAGTGTCAGAGGTTACCCAGTGACATCTGGGAATGATCGCTTTCAGATCGTAGGTGGGTAATGTACACGATGAGATCTAGAAAATCACACTGGTGAAGAGTCAGTATATGGTTCTGGTGCTTAAAGAGAATTGGAGTTGAAAATTCAGATTTGGTAGTCACCAGTGCTTAGTATTTCTGTGTGTGTTAACTGAGTGAAATGAAAAGGGAAACTAGTATGGCGTCCCACACCTATAATCCCAGAACTCAGGAGGCTTCGTGAGTTTGAGGCCAGCCTTGCAGACAGTGAGTGGCCAGGTTGAACTCTCTCAACAGCCCTTTGTAAACATCAATGTTTAAGGTAAGTCTAGGGGAGAATATGCAAGAAGACTGTGAATGCTAAATGAAGTGGGATAAATGCAGAAAAAGCAGTCTTCAAAAAAGAGAAACAAGCCAGTTAACTTCATGTACAATGAGGGAGACAGTCAAATCCAGTGAATTCTGACTGAGATAATTTGATAATCTAGGCAAAATATTTCCAGGGAGCTGAGAAACAGAGCATTCTGGTTTCGTTCCATTGCTGTGATAAATCACTCTGACCAAAAGCAGCTTTGGAGAGGATTTATTGATGTATACCTGCAGGTCACAGTTCATCATCCAGGCAAGTCAGGGCAAGAACTCATGGTGGGAACCATGGAGGAACTGCTTTAGCTAATTTCTTATTTCATATAACCAGGCCCCACCCATCTAGGAATGGTACTGCCCACAGTAGGCTGGACCCTTCTAGGTCAACTGATAATCAAGCCCCCCACAGACATGCCTATGGACCGTCTGATCTAGGCAGGTCCTCAACGAGACTTTCCTTTCAGATGTCTGTGGGCTGTGTCAGGATAACAGTTAAAGCTAACTAGGACAGAGATAGTGAATTTAGTCAAAAAAATTGACTTCATAATTATAATCCTTATTTAAAGAATAAAATAAAATTTCTCTTTATTCAGAATGCATATCAATATTACATCATTATTTTAACAAGAGTAAAAGAAAACTGTGAGTCATAAGGTACAAAGATATTATCATAATACCTAAGAAAGCATAAAGCAGATTCAAAACTACTTGAAAACTAAGAATAATATTTATATTTATTCATTCCTTCATTTATAAATATTAATGAGTTTCTACTGTGTGTCAGCATGCTAAACACTAGGAATTCAGGAGTGAACAAAATAAGACACGGCTATTGTTTTTATGGCATTTGTTCTAGTTTATCTGTAGAAATAGAAAAGAATAGTATTCTAAAGCAAGACCATTTGCAAGGTAAAAATGGTTTGGGTTGGTGTTATATTTTTTTATTTGATTTTTGGGTTTTTTGGGGTTGTTTTTTTTTTTTTGAGGCAGAATCTCATATATGGCAGGCCGGCTTCAAACTCACAATGTAGCCAAGTATGACCTTGAACATCTGACTGTCCTGCCTCCCCCTCGGAGTGCTGAGAATACATGTGCGCCACTCCCCCAGTCTATGTGATGCCGGGAATGGGGCCTGGTTTGTGTGTGGCAGGAAAGCTGTCAGCCGAGCCTCATCCTGACCTGTTCACACTAAAGTGTACTCAGGTTAAACTCTCCTTTTTCTGGTGTGTGTGTGTGTTGTTTTAAAGATTCCAGACAACTCAGTGTTCTTCAGAAATGAGACTCCCTTTCATCCCTGTTTTCCTTTCAGAATGTTCCAGAGAATTTACATAAGATGGCAGAGCATAATCTCCTGCTTCATTTGAAAAAACTAGAGAAAGAAGGAAAAATATGTATGTATTTCTGAATTTTATTGCCTTTACTACTAGCATTTAAACATGTTTGCAGGTGCATGGGTTTCTTTTGAGTTAGAACAGCTATCTGAGTTCTCCCTTAAATATCACATTCATTAGAGAGAGATAAACACAAGCAGTAGGGCTCGAATCCTGCCATAGACACTCCAAGTTGTGCATCAGGAGGATGGCCTCTTCTAGACGCCAAGATCAGGAAGTGTGGTACACTTGAAAACAGGCACAGTTCTCACGTGCTAGTGAAAATAGTGACGTCAGAGATAGTAAAGTGTTCTATAATTATTTCCTGATGGTAGATTAATAATTGTAAAAGCCTTAGTCATATGTTTACATACAAGAAGAAACTCACATTATAGTCATCAACAAAATTCATTTAAGGAATGTGCACTTTTTCTAATTACAAAATAATTTAAAATCCAGTGGATATACTTAGCTTTTGTTTTTACTTTCTGGTTTTCTTTCTACAGTTTACACCACAGATCCTGACAAGAAATGGAGAGCTGTACTTTAGTTTCCAATGAATGAAGCTCTATCTTGTTTTGCTTTTAGAGCATGGTATGTTCTTTTAGCTATAGATTATTTATAGAGAATATCGAATGTGGGACTTTGAGAATAACCCTGGATACTTTTCTAAAATATGTAAATTACATTGCATATGTAGGACAGGCTATTGATCTAACCTGGGCCTTGGAACATTTTACCAAAAGTTCAGAATCTAACACTTTGTCAATTTCCTATGGATTAAGTGAAATGGTTACTTAAGAATAACAAAACTTGGCCGGGCGGTGGTGGCGCACGCCTTTAATCCCAGCACTCGGGAGGCAGAGCCAGGCGTATCTCTGTGAGTTCGAGGCCAGCCTGGGCTACCAAGTGAGTTCCAGGAAAAGGCGCAAAGCTACACAGAGAAACCCTGTCTCAAAAAAACCAAAAAAAAAAAAAAAAAAAAGACTAACAAAACTTGCACAATTCAAACCATTTACTCCTTTAGAGTTTGGTTCTGTACTAGCATTTGTGGTAATAACTGTTTTCTTTAGCTACTTCAGTCAACAGCACAGATGTCTTGTCTGCATACTCCTTCCTTTTCTCCAACCCTTCTATACCTTTTACATAGCAAGTTTATTTCCTCTTTCTATCAATTTTATCATTTAAGTATTGAGTCTATAGCTCTATGTTATATTTGTTTTCTTATAATGGTATCCCATAAATGATTCATGTTTATCATTGATGCTCCCCAACATGATGATAATGGAGTGAACCTCTAAAACTGTAAGCAAGCCACCCCAATGAAATATTTTCTTTATAAGAGAAATATTAAATATACCAACTTCAAATACTATGTGATTCATAATAATTATTTTTAAAGATTAATTTTCATTTTATGTGTATGAGTATTTTGCCTGCATGGGTATCTGTGTGTTACATGCAAGCAATGTGCACGAAGACCAGAAGAGGGCATTGGAGCCCCTGGAACTGGAGTTCCAGATGTGGTTAGTCACCATGTGGGTGCTGGGAATCAAACCTTGTTTCTCTGCAAGAATAGCCAGTACTCTGACCTGCTGAGCCATCTCACCAGCTCCTAAATAATTATTTTTGTAATCCATTAATACAACCAATATGCTTTGCAAGTTTAGATTGTAGTACAGAAATAGTCATCAGTTTATATATGAATTATATACAAAAAGTATTTTCTTTTAATTAGAAGAATGTAAGGTATGCCTTTTAAAAATATAAATTACATTCTTAAGTAATGGCTAGATTAGTGGTGCTGTGTAGTAATTTCCTTCAAATTGAAACATTTAATACTGGAAAGAGGAAAGACTCAGGAAGTAAATTAAATTTACAGGGCTCAGGAAGTAAATAACTCATAAGTCTCAGAAAGTTCCTGAAACTTTAATTCACCAAGTCCCTCCCCAAGTTTACCTAAGGAGTAATAATTGCTAGGGAGAAGAAACTTTCTCACCTCTTGAGCTCCCTACAAGTGATTCAGGGGAGCACCAGGAACGAACCCTTCATGAGTCAGGGGAGCACCAGGAACGAACCCTTCATGAGTCAACACACCTGCTGGAGTGGGCTTTTCAATAAAGCAGCTGCCTTTGAATCACCCATGAGCCTCGCAGTAAGCCTGTTCCCGCTTACTGTAAATGACCCCATTAAACTCTGCTCGCTAAGCAAGGACTCCTAAGAGCACTGCTTTTGTCTGTCATTCGTTTCTACTCTGGATGTGTAGACTTCATATCTCCATAGAAAATCTTGTACAGTACAGTGTAGTTCAGCAATGCTGAATTGACCCAGATAGGGTCCAAGTTGTAATACTAAAATAAGCTCAGAATTCTAAGTGTATGTTTTCCTTACTCTCCCTTTAAGGTAAGATTTCAATTTATAAAAAGTGTTCTTTAGCGTTTTCACCTTCTGCCCCTTTTCTCAGACCCTAGCATTTTTATGCTACCTTAACACATTTGTTCTTGTTCATGGAATTAAGTGTTCCACACTACAAAATAACTATAAACTGAACAATTAAAAGCCAAAGCCAATGACCCAATTCACAAATGGACAATTTCTCCAAAGAAGATACCTAAGTGAAAAGATGGTTAGTATTACTAATCAATACAGATCAAAACCATAGGTCCTGCTTCCTGCCCATTTGGATAGCTGTTGTTTTCTAAAAATAAGAAGAGAACAGCTCCTGAGGTGTGGGGAAAGTGGAGCCTTTATGTACAGGTAACAGGGTTTAGTGTGGCCTCTGAAAAAGAAAATGGAATTACAGTATCATTGAGCATTCTACTTCTGAGAATCATTCCAAAAAGCTGACTTAAACAGGTATCTGTGGGGCTGACAGAAAAACATCTTAAAAACAGAAGAAAATCTGACATATGCTGCATCATACATGAATTCCAAAGGCATAACGCTAAGTGAAACAAGACACTAAGCGACAGATACTGTGATTCTCCTTGCATGGAAAACACACAGCAGCTAAGTTCACAGGGACAGAAGGTAGAATGGTGAATGCAATGATCTGGAAGAAAAGGAATGGAGAATTACTCATTTCAGTAAGGGACAACATAAAAAGTTCTGGGCATGAATGGTAAGACCGAGTGGTATCCCTACAATGATTAGTAATAATCATAAGTGTCCCCCATAATGCCACCACTAAAAAAATAAAAAATGTGAATGCATATCAATTCAATTTAGGCTAAGAGACTATAATTTTATTGGTATGTGAATAATTAGCTTACCTGTTACCTTGCTTTTTTCCCAGAGGATTGAATACAAACACCATTCAATTGGTCAGATCAGAAAGGAAAAAAATCGCTCTCGGTTTGCCTCCATCCCTCATGTCCCACCTTCCCTAGTCTATCTCCAGAATTCATCACTTTCCAATCAGTGCTGCTTAGTCCTAGCCATCATCCTTTCTTCCTGCACCAGTAAATGCCTGTTCACTTTTAGCTCCTCCTTCCATTCTTGAAAGAGGTTGGTGAAGAAGATGAAAAAGGGCATTCTGAGTGGAGGAAATCTCATTTAAAAACCCATACAATTGTTACATTGCCCTGGCACACTTCACATACTGCACATTGCAAGGAGATCTTCTCAAAGTTGGGGAAGGATGGGAAGCTGCTAAACTCTCAGTCATTTGGAGAGCCTAGCAGCAGAGCTCTAACAAAAGCAGTGACATACGAAATGCTCTGCTCGGGACTGTGCCAGCTACCGAGGAGACAGAGGTAAACAGAACAGCATCTGGACTCTCAGAGTGAGCTCATGGTCTTGTTGTCAAGACAATGTAAGTAGCGTAAGGTTTGTTTGGAGCAAAGGAAGAATATCTAACCTGTTGGGTTGTAGAAAGCTGCCAATGGAAGCCTGAGCTCAGGCTATACAAAGGAAGTGGTAACCACGTGAAAATGCAGTACTTGTTTAGATGAGAAAAATTGTTCCAGTTGGAATAAAAACTGTGTGTGCACATGAACAGAAAAAGGCATCCTGTGTTTGAACTAATTTATATAACCAGAATGTATGGTATTTGTGTTGGAGGTCACAGCTAATCAGAATCTCATGAGAGCATTGAAATCACAGGAACCAGTGTACTAGAGTCACAGAAAATGGGGCCTGGCTGTAATCCCAGTGGTACTTAGGAGGATGAAGCTGGAGGGGTTTAGTTTAAGGTCAGCCTGGGGCATACAGTGAATTCCCTGTCTCAAATATAAGTGGATATACATACATACACACACATTAATTCTACCCATGCTTTACACAATAGGCTACAGTAATCTTCAGCTGTAGGGAATACATTCCAACACCTCTAGTGGACATCAGGTGATACCACAGGTGGTATTGAATCCTGCACGCGCACGCGCGCGCGCGCGCGCACACACACACACACACACACCCCTACAGTAAAGTTTGATGTATAAAAGACGGTAAGAGGTTCACAACAATGACTAGTAATGCAATGGAGCTGTACCAGTGTAGTATAATAAAGATAGGTGCACAGCCAAGCATGGTGACACATGCCTTTGATCGCAGCACTTGGGGGGCAAAGGCACATGGAGTTGTCTTTTTTTTATTTCTTTTTTTAAAAATTTTATTTTATAATTTAATTTAATTTTACATATCAGCCACGGATTCCCTTATTCTCCCTCCTCCCGCCCCCTCCCCACCTTCCCCCCAGCCCACCCCCCATTCCCACCTCCTCCAGGGCAAAGATTCCCCTGGGGATTGAGTTCAACCTGGTAGACTCAGTTCAGGCAGGTCCAGTCCCCTCCTCCCAGGCTGAGCTAAGTGTCCCTGCATAAGCCCCAGTTTCCAAACAGCCAACTCATGCACTGAGGACAGGACCCAGTCCCACTGCCTGGATGCCTCCCAAACAGATCAAGCCAATCAACTTTCTCACTTATCCAGAGGGCCTGATCCAGTTGGGTGCTCCTCAGTTATTGGCTATGTGTTTGAGGCTACCCCTAGAGTTCCAGATCAGCCAGGGCTACATAATGAGACCCTATTCAAAAAGAAAAGAAAAAGATAAGTACCCTCTGTCCCCCTCCTCCAAGTGTCTCACTGTATTTTCTCTTAAAAGAAGCTCTCTCCATCCTCTCTGGGGCTCATCTGAGTCGCCAGCATCACTACTTTTACACTTTGAACGTGAGTAAGTAGAATAAAGGTTACCTATACACAGGCACCGATCGCAATCCTGTAGAGATCTGACATTCTGCGGAGCCACTGAGTGACTAACAGCCACAGCACAGACCGTGCGCATGATGGGATAAAGGATGATTCATGTCCGGAGCCGCTCAGAACAGGACAATATGAGGTTTCACCTCATTACTCAGAACAGCATGCAGCTCAGTTCCAGGGCCTAGCATGATTAGTATAATCATCTAGTAGTATTTTGCCTCAGTAGCCAAGTGTTTGTCTCCTGCCATTATAGTAACTTTTGCCATCCCTGGTTCTAGTACTTTCCTCCCCCAGTCAGCACACCCAGGGGCCTTGGATTACTCAGAGCTGCTACTTCCTCATGTTCTGTTTACTCAAGGTTTTATACAGCCCCTTTCAGCGCCTCTGCCTGCTCTCTATTCTAACCTCAGGTTGTTTGCAACTGAGTAGCTCTTCATGTCTCACACAGAACTGAGAGGAATACCTAGACAGATAATTACTTTTTAGTTCTTCTCATGTTCTCTCATATGTTACTGGCCGACCTTTTGATAACTGTTCCAAACAGCCATCTGGCCCAGAACCTTATAAACATAGGCACTGGGCAGGGTGAAGTTTGGAGACTGGATTTTGCAATGCAGGATGTGAAGGACAAAAGCAGAGAGGGATTTCAGAGGAACAGCGGACAGCAGTTATGAGTGCTACTTAAAAGGAGAAATAGCACCCAGAGGAGTTGGCAAAGCATGAAAACCTTGAGTTTGGATCCCCAGCACCCGCTTAAAAAGCCAGGCATGGTGGTAATTACAAGGTGCACTTGTAACCCCAGCATCAGAGAGGCAAACGCTGAGGATCCTTAGAGTCTGTTGGCTAGCCTGTCTATCCAGTCAGTGAGGTTTAAGTTCCGTGAGAGACCCTGTCTGAGAAAAAGATGGAGAAGAGATCGATGAGGATACCCACCATCAACCTCTAGCCTCCACACACCATCAGATGACCCCACGTACACATTTAAAAAAAAGAAAAGAAATAGTACCCAAACGGATGTTTAATCTCTGAGAATGGGAGTCAGGTAGAAAGAAGTCTCGAGACAGCTGTGGATGTCTGGTATGGCCCTGCGAAGATGTAGATAAGCAGTAGAAAGGATGTACGGCGCTGGTCTGCTACACACCACGTAGAAGAGAAAAGATGAATTTCATTCTAGAT